CGCCTGCTGCTCCACAGCCGGCCTGCAGACGGCTCTCGTGGTGACGCCACGCGGCTTGAGTTCGCTTCCGCTCACGTAGCTCAACCGCGCCCGTGGCTTCGAGCAAGCGAGGGGACGGCACCACAGCGCCAAGCCCTGCACGTCACGTAGCGCGCCAATGACACGCGGGACAGCTACGTGGCTGTCACTGGCTCAGCGAACGTCACGTTGGCTCCTTCCTGGTCACATTCAGATGAAAAATGGAAGCCGTCTGACTTTTTCAAAAGGCAGTTCAGCTAGAAAGTGAAAAAGAACGCTGGTACCCGCAACGGCACTACGGCCACAGAAAAATCAACAGAAAGAGAAATCTATGAGCCGGTAGGAGGCTAAGTGAGATAAAAAACATACACGTTCCAGGATTCTTGGAAGAACATGAGCGCAAGTTTAACATGCGGCAACACAACGGTGGCCAACCACCTCGAGGGTCGCTCAAATTTAAAAGATGAGGGCAGTGCCAACTTCAAGATGGGGGTCAGTTCTCTGATTAACATTCAGACAGTGGCGCCGGGACAGGAGAGAAGGCACGTGCACATGGACGCAGCTCGACAAATACAAACTCATCCGTGCTCCGGCCACCACGGCAGAATACAGACCGCATCCCTCTACTTCAGCTGGTATGTGTGTGACGAGTAGCCGAGTGCTGCAGACGTGGCATTAAACCGGACAACGGTGACCCCTGAGCTCACACACACCAGGCAGTTCTCGGCGCCCCCAAGCAGAGGGAAAGTCACACCAGAAGGCCAAGCGGCGGCCCCCTCGGTATCTAGTCGACCCAGCAGGTGCACCTAGGACGCATCACCTCCGTCTCAGAAGCACCCAACCCCTCGCCAAGAACAAAAGACTATTAAAAAGTACACTCTAAACTCGTAACGCAGTAATCCGGGTGAATCACCAAGTGAAAAACAACCATCTGCTCACGGATGAGGGCCTCTGCACCAAGACTGACACGGCCCAGGCTCCCCTGTTGGCCCAGGGACAAGACCGGCAGCCGCACTCCATTTCTGGTTGTGGGGCCTGGAGAGGGGTCCCGCGCACACGACTCATCTTAACCGAAGGTCACTGCCACAAAGCCAGGTGGTGAGCTGGGAGGTGACAACAAAGAGACATTGCTCCCAGCATCAACAAGGCTCTCCTCGCGGCCCGGGCGGGGAGGCCACGGCGGCTGCACTGCTGACGGCCCTCACGGCTGTGCCGGCCAGAGCGTCCCATGTGACCACCCATCGCACGACATGCACTCGGGTCAGTTGTGTGATTACTCCCACGCAAGAGTGAGGGGAAAAGAGTGTCAACTCCCCGCCAACAGTGGGCTCTAGAGGGCCCGTAGCCTGTCTCCACCCCAGTGCGCTGCCCATAAAAAAGAAGGCTGACCGTGGCAGCCCCTACGGCCCTGCCCGGTTCAGGTGGTGGAGTGGGGAGCTGTGGTCGGCCTCGGCTCAGCTTCCAGGGCTCCTCGAGGGTAAGTCACCACCACTCGGCTACGTAGCAACAGGTCCACAAACAGCAGAATGCCGTCTAGCACTTTCCCTGCTGGTTTTTCCCTCTGAAGGTAACAGAAACTACCACCCTCCCCTTACCCCCGAAACCAAGGCCTAGATGCCCCTAGGTTTCTAGGGTCGTGGGCTAAAATCAACAGGCAGGAGTGCAGCAGGCCCCCCCCACCCAGGCTCTGTAGGAGAGGAAGTGCCGTGAGCCACTCCTTCAAACTGCTAACGTGTTACAGCTCTCACCCAGAAAGACAGCGCAAAACATTCCAGCTGCACAGGTTGTACACTGGTTTTTTCTTTAAAGTCTAGGCCCAGGGTGGGTCTTGAACTCATGACCCTGCCAGGCACCCCAGATTCTACTCTTTCTTGCACACACTTTTATTTGTTTTCTTTATTAACATTTATTTTTGAGAGACAAAGCATGAGCAAGGGACAGGCAGACAGAGAGGGAGACACAGAATCCAAAGCAGGCTCCAGGTTGAACTGTCAGCACGGAGCCTGATGTGGGGCTCCAACTCACGAACCGTGAGATCATGACCTGAGCCGAAGTCAGACGCTTAACTGACTGGGCCCCCCAGGCACCCCTCTTGCAGACACTTTTAAATGAATAACTCCCGACACAACCAATATATTATTTCTTAAAAAGAAGAAATAATTAAGCGTCGTCAGTGAAACAACTGTTGCCGCAAAAACGGAGGAGCAAAATCTAAAATTAAAAGTACAAGGTGGCCCACGGTCCTGGCGGCAGCAAGCAGAGAAGGAAGCCGGAGGAAACCTTCCCGGACTGAAACGTGCCACCACAGGCCTGGCCAAGGTGACTCTCCTGAGCCTCCCCACTTACTACAAATGGCAGGCACTGGCCCAGAGGATACCCCAGGAGACACCGAAGAGTCCCAAAAGGCCAACACAAAACAGGAAGGGCGCCTCCGTGCACCTCACCTAGCCAGCCTGCTCGCTTTCAATCCCCACACAAAGGGAAAGTGCCGGTCAGTTTCATTTAGGTGCTTAGCGACAACTACACAAGTGAAATACTGAAGCCATTTTCATTGTCATACCCACCCCCAATGCTGATTCACCATTAAAGCTGCTGATTGAAAGAACCATGTCTAATTAGCTGGAAACTAAGCTGGAGACACACAGGGAAACGTCCAAAAGAAGAAACAAAGAATAGGCCCCTGGATTAG